AGACTTCAGTTGTTTTTGTTTGCAGTTATCTTATTTATTAGAATGTTAGAATAACTTTTCAGTTTTTTTTTAATACGTTGTGTTCCTTCTTTTTAAAACTGTTGTGTTTGTATTCTCTGAGTCCTTATGTACCTACCAAAGGGTTCTTCCTCCTGGAAATTTGTGTAATATGTATTTGGAATTGTCAGATTTTTGACAGAATCATTTAAAAGAACAATTTCCCAAACCTGTTGGGATTTTTTTTTTTGCCTTTTATTCTGGAGGAATTAACTCTTATACAAAACTATTTTATATTCTCCAGTTCATCTATTTTCTTATGAAAGAACTTCTATTTGTTAAATGGATAAGAATATTTTTAATTCTATAATTAAAAGATTCCTTTTTGTTATAACTTCTAAAACATTGGAGGATGGATCAATATGGAATTTATGATGAGTATATGGTGTGAAAATTGGATCTTATCCTGGTTTTTGCCATATGGCTTTCCTGATTTTCTCAACTTTTTATTGAGTAATACAATCCTTCCCCAATATTTTTTTGATCTTCAGTTTATCTAATCCTTGCCCATTGCATGCCAGTTGTTCTAATTCAGAAATATCTTTTCCGTTCTAGTGATTTATCTAATAACAGCAGCTTTAAAAATTACTTTTTAGTAGTATACTTTTATATCTAGCAATTCAAGTCACTTTTCCTCTCCCCCTAATGTTTTAAATAATGTATTATTTCATAATAAGAATTTTATTATTTAATTCTGTGAAGTAACATACTGAGATTTCAATTTGGTATTGCATCAGATATGTAAGGTAATTTGTCTAGTATTGCCAACTTTGATTTAGAATGTCTCTAAAATTACTTAACTTTTTCCTTTATTTCTGTTAAAATTGTATTATAGTTGATTTTTACATAAGCCACTTGTATATGCTATTGATTGATATACAAGTATTTTCTATATTTTTATCTTAACTGTACACAGCATTTTCTCAGCAAGTCGACAAGCATTTTAAAAATTTTATTATTTATGGTAAACATTTTTTCTTTTTAAATTTTGATTTCTACATTCTCTCCCTCCCACTCAATGAGAAGGTAAACAATATGACATCAGTTATACATGTGAGAGCATACAAAACATTTCCGTATTAGTCATATATAACAAAAAAAATAAAGTGAGAAAATTACATGTCAGTTTGCACTCAGAGTTCTTCAGTTCTCTCTCTCTGGAGGTGAATAGTGTTTTTTCGTCAGGAGTCCTTTGGAATTGTCTTGGATCAGAGTAGATGTCATTGGTCAGAGCACCCAAGCTTTTCACAGTTGATCATCATTACAACATTGCTGATACTGTGCAGAATGATCTCCCAATTCTTCAGACTTCGCTTTGCATTAGTTCTTATGGGTCTTAAACCACCCTTTTTCATTTCTTATAACACAACTCTATCACAATCATGTGCCCCAGTTTTTTCAACCATTCCCCAACTGATAAGCATTCCCTCAATTTCCAATTCTTTGCCACCACAAAAAGAGCTGCTATCAATATTTTTGTACATATAGGTCATTTTCCTTTTTCTTTGATTTCTTTGGGGTACAGACCTAGTAGTGCTATTGCTGGATCAAAGGGTATGCACAGTTTTATGGCCCTTTGGGCATAGTTCCATAGTGTTCTCTGGAATTGTTGGACTCCACCAAAAGTTCATTAATGTACCTATTGTCCCCCATCCTCTCCAGCATTTGTGATTTCTGATACATGCGAGGTGTTGTAACTTACCATTCTCTAATCAATAGTGATTTAGACCATTTGTCTGACCTCTTACCATCTCTGGGCTGAGAGCTCCCACTGCTGCTGCTGCTGTTGTCATGACTGCCTTAAGGCACACTGCTGGTGCCTCACTCCTGGGCTGCATCTACCCCAGGGTCACCAACCTCTCCCGTGAAACTCTGAAGTTGTCTTAGGCTGGATAAATGTTTCCCTCTGACCTGTTGCTGGCTCTGCTGCTCCAGAATTTAATTTGAGGCATTATATTAAAGTTGTTTGGAGGGGACTGTTGGGAGAGTCCAACTGGGTCCCAGGCTGTACTCTGCCATCTTGGATGCGCTCCCCGCCACCTCCCCAGCAAGCATTTATTAAATACTTATTATGTGCTTGACACTGTGCACAGTTTTAGCAATAGAAACAAAGGCAAAAATATATTCCCTGCTTCCAAGGAGCTCACAGTCTGATTGAGGAGGCAACATGTAAACAACTGTGTTCATACGAGATATGTGCTAATGAATGGGAGGCAATGGAAGTTGGAGGTGGGGATCAGTAGGAAATGTCTGTTGTAGAAGGTAGGATTTGATGTGAGGCTTGAAGTAAGCCAGGGAGCACTGTTGAACATGCAGTGAAAAAGGTACAGACTCAGACACTGAATTGTAATATGTGAAGAATAGCAAGAAGGCCAGTGTCACTGGGTCAGAGAGTACACAGAGAGGAGTAAAGTTTAAGAAGCCTGGAAAAACAGAAAAAGAACTAAATTATGAAGAAGTTTTAAAGACAGAGACTTTTATATGTGATCCTGGAGGTAATAGGGAGCCACTGGTGTTTATTGGGTAGTGAGGGTAACATGGTTAGACCAGAGGGCTATTGCAGTAGGCCAGGTATGAGGTGACATTTCACCACCCATTCAGTCTTCTCCCATACACCGGCCTACACTAATACAGATAAAACATTATATAAACCTTTTAAAATGAATATGGCAATATATTTTTAAAATTTCATGACATGGTGGCATGGGACCCTGGATTTAGGGCTATGTTGTTGTTCAGTTTAGTGTCCAACTCTTCATGAACCCATTTGGGGTTTTCTTGGCAAAGACACTGGAGTGGTTTGCTATTTCTCTCTCCAGCTCATTTTACAGATGAGCAACTGAGGCAGACAGGGTTAAGTGACTTGCCCAGGTTCATGTAGCTAGTTAGTATCTGAAGCCAGATTTTAATTCAGGAAGATGAATCTTTCTGACTTCAAGCCTAGCACCTTATCCACCCCATACCTAGCTTGCTGGGTTTAAATCCTAGCTTTGTCACTTAGTATCTGTGTGACCTTAAATACGTTAAATGAGGTCTCAGTTTCTTCCTCTGTAAAATGAGGGTGAACTAGATGAGCTCTAAGTTCCTTTTTATCTCTGAATTCTTAATTGCATGATCATATGGAATTTATAACAATAATGCAAAAATAATTCAATATTAGGAAAACAACTTACATGATTAATGAAACAATATAATTAGTAATGATAAGGAAAACCACAAAATCATTTGATAAGATCTATGGATGAAGAGTACATATAATGAAGAATTTTTCCTTAATATGATAAAAAAGAATTTATCTATACCCTGGAATAAACATATATGAAAGAAGAAAGATTAGAAGTTTTCCCACCATAAACTGTGGGAAAAACACAATTAGGTCCCTTTTATCAGTATAGTTAGGTCCATTTTATCTGACATAGTTTTAAAACTGGTAGCAATAACAGGTAAAGCAAGAAAAAGAAATTAAGGTATCGTTGTCAGAGAAGTCAAGATAAAATGGCAAATGATAGGATTCTCCATGGGTAGGAGCCTCAGCATTTCACCGAAAATAGATCATATCTGTATTCAGCAAAGCAAAAGATAAGGCCACAAAAGCATCAGTATTTATAAATATATATGTGTGTGTGTGTGTGTGTGTGTGTACACACACACACACACACACACACACACGTAACGGATAACATCTGCTAACTGTATGTCCAAGAGTCCGTTCTGGGCCCTCATCTCTTCTCTCTGTAATTATACTCTTTCAAATGGTGATCTCAAGAGCTCCCATGGATTCTCAGATCTGCTTATCCAGACCTAACCTCTAAGATCTCCATTTTTATGGGACCAGCTTCCTGTTGGATGTCTCGTACCGAAGGACCCCTTAGACATTTCAGAGTCAACATATTCATCTCTCTCCCTGTCCCATCTGCTTCCAGTCTTCTGAACTTTACGACTACTGTTGAGGGCACCACCCAGTCACTCAGGCTTCATTCACACTTATGCTACACATTCTGTCTCTTGCCAAGTCTTGTGATTCCTAACTGTATAACATTTCTTGTGTGTGTCCCCTTCTCCCTACTCATACAACTTCAACTCTGGGACAGATGCTCACCTTGATGTAGGGTAAATCCTGCTATCAACTGAGGCCCTTGAACAGGTTGCATGCAAGAGGCCTATCATCTCTTAGCTATTTTGATACAGATGATTCAGACTTGTAAGGACTGGTCTGGTGGTGGCTTCTAAGCTAGCAACATTTATGCTGTTGACATCTTGTAGCTGATGTTACTCCTGGCCATCATGACTTAGAATTCATAGTAACTCATAGCTCTTAACATTCTTCTTTCCCCTTTAAAATACTATTCATAGTGTTTTATGTTTGTATTTTGTATAATAAGCCCCTCATCCACTTGCTAAAGTTGTTTTGAGATTATTTTAGTGGAGGGGTGTCCTCTAGAAAACTTATGGGACTTTGTTATGAAGCTAGAAAGGATGTGTGTGGTAGGAGCTTTGTTCTGCTTTGTGGATGAGTAAGGTACAGAAGATCAGTCAGGCTGCCCTGCCCAAGTACTGCTGAGAGTGAGTTCATGTTTCCATGTCCATCATGGCCAGGCTTTCTTCTCCTTTCCTATTAGCTCTTGTTCTCCCCTGTTCTTTTTCATCAGCAGCTATGCCCAGTATCCTACAATACTGAACAGTATCTCTGGATCATTTATACTGAGATCATTTTTGAAGGGTGGCTTTCTTGCCACTTAAAGTGTAAGAGGTTTAGCCTGGGGGTGTGGAGGAAATTATTGTCCAAAGTTTTATCAGAGCTTACTTATTTTTTTGGAAAATGTCGTCCTATTTGATATGACTTTGGAGGGAAAAGGGAAGAAATATTTTGTATACTTTTAAAAAGAAGTCTTTCCATTTTATTGCTTGTAATTAATACAGTCTTTAAATTTTTTATTTTATAGTCCATGAGCAACTCATTGCACTTTAACCCCAGAGCCTGAATCAACAGACCTGATCTCAGTGATGCTTGGCCAAGAATATAGGCATTATGGTATATTGTATTCTAAGCTTTCTTCTCCTTTATAATAAAACTAAATAAGCCTGTGTGATCTGTCCATGGTTCCTTAGTACTTGGATTTATTCTGGATGTTTAGAATATTTTTGTCTTTCAGAATTCTGGATTTCAGCTGTCATATTTCAGATATGTTGGCATGTTCAATTTGAAGTTTCAGGTAGTAACTTGTAGATTTTTTTTACTAATGCTTTTGTAAGGGAAAAATTGAAAGTGTAATCATTTTACAGCATCTTGATGGAATAGTAATGTAGAAATCCCCAAACCACTTGGTGGCTTAAAAGTGAAAAGTTAGGGAAAATAACCAAATATATATATAAATATATATCTGTTTAGCCAAAATAAAACCAATAAGGTAAATAGTCTCAATCACTATTTTAACAGCTGTTTGTTGTCCTTGGATCAGAGACATCTGAAATGTTGTCTAAATGGTTACCTCAACCTAGGGTGGGCTAAAGCCGAGGTTTTATTTTAAATTTAATTAATTTTATTTAAATTTTCACTGTTAGCACTTATAACTTGGAAATCTACAAAGGGCTACAAATTAGGGCTTGATTTATTGTTTTGTTGATTGTCTGGACCAGAAGTTTCAAATTGGGCCCAATCTTGCCCAACCAGATAAAAAATATAATTGGAAAATGTTTAACAAAATAAATAACAATACAAAGCAGCATAGACAATGTTAAAGTGTGATTTTCTAAGTTAATGAGTGACCACAGGGATGTTTTTATTTTATTTTGTCACTACTAGTCTAGACTTGATAGCAGAAAATGTTAGTAATTCAGATTAAACGTAAAAGTGTGTCATGTATACATTTTTTTTCCAGAGAGCCAATTTTTAATCACTTACAAGCATACCCTCGATCTCAACCTTGCAGTTTTGTTTAAAAGATGTTCCACAGCTAAATAATTGGGCCAGCGACTCTTCCCTCCTGCCCTTGAACATGGAATGTAGCCGCTTCTATCAGCAGTTTCCTTAGAATGATAACACTTTTTTTTTTTGCTTTCACTTTGGCTTCTTTTCTTTGACTCACCAGTCATTGAATTCCCATTGATAGGTGTCCCTCACCCAAGATGTCCCATCCTTCTCTGTTGATACCTTTAACCTTGGTTCCTGGATTGGGACTAGGCTCTCCTTTCTTCTCTCTAAATCTGAGTGAGATGGCTAGGCCCAGGTTGTGTTGCCTGCTTCAGTTCCAGAGTGGGCCATCGCTGTACTAGGGATGGATCTTGTTCCTGTCACAATTTTGGATGGGGTGACCGAGTCCTATTCCCGTCTCCCCTGTGGTAGCTTCCATGAGCTTGTAAGTCCTGCTGCAGTCTAGGCCTGGAACCTGGAGTTCCTTCCCATGCTATATTCCTTGAGAAGTTTGAGGCTTTAGCTAGCCTTGCCTCGTCTTGGCTCTAAGCCATGAGGTAGCCAGCTTAATTCCCATCTTCTGGCGTGGTTGTGGATTGCATGGAGGAGTTCCCTACTGCTTTTGTTTGGTTTAATTAAGTCTTGCTTTCATCCGTCACTCTTCTTTGTTGTTGCTGATGTGGTTTTTCTGGGGAGCTGGACTTGGCTGAAACTTTTTATGTTACCATCTGTTTGTAAAGCTGATTTTTTAAAAACCAAAAGGTAAAACTTTGCAACTCTGTCTAGTAAGTGTCATCTTATTAAATTAAAAAAATTGGCAGTCATTGGTTTTTATATTGCCTTCATTTTCAAATATTTCTCTCATTTCTCTGCTAGAGTGCTTCCTTCCCTTTACTACAATGACAAAAGAAAGAGGTAAAAGAAAACTGTTCAACACAACTAATGAATACATCATCTTAGTCTGACAGTACATGCTGTGTTCCACACTCCTGCAAAGAAGGGAGAGAGGTGTGATTTTCTCTTTCGTTCTTTAGGGCCAAACTTGGACATTGTAATTACACAGTGTTCATTTTGGCATGTTGTCGCTCCTCTTTTCATTGTCATTGTTGTAGTCGTTGCATATTTAATTTCCCGGTTCTCCATACTTCATTTTGCATCAGTTTGGTTTTTTTTTATAATTCTTGTATTTGGTTCAGAGAAGGGTAAAAGTGATGAATCAATCAATTTAGGTTTCTTATTCTGATATTATAGAGTAACTAACTTTATTTTTTTATTATGAACTTTACAGACAGCAACAAAGTTGATCATTTCCATAGATGATGATGAATAGAAAAAAGAATTGCATGTGAAACTAAATCTCAGGTACGTATAGATTATTTATAAGGACATAGTAAACTTAACACTGTTAATTCCATTTTTGTCTTGATAGTTGTTTGTGTCTCTTCCTACTTTCCTCCTGCTGTCTTCTAGGTATTTTTGGTAAATACCCCGTCAATGATTCAGTGCTCTTTTATTTGCTCATTTCTTTTTTGAGATCACTGTTAATAATTTCATTTTTTTCCCCTACTGGAATGTAATGATGTGACTTTCTATTAATATGGCCTATTTTAAAATTTTCATGATATTGAATTAATCTTGCATTCCTGAAATTAATCTAACCTTGTGATGGTGTATAATCTTTTTTTTATATTTTAAGCTTCTTTTCTTTCTTTTTTTTTTTTTTTTTTTGGCTAGGCAGTGGGGTTAAGTGACTTGCCTGGGGTCACACAGCTAGTCAGTGTCAAGTGGCCGAGGCCAGATTTGAACTCGTCTTCCTGATTCCAGAGCCGGTACTCTATCCACTGCACCACTTAGCTGCCCTTTTAAGCCTCTTTTCTGAAATTTTATTAAACATTTTTGCACTGATATATATTAGAGATACTAGTATATAGTTTTCTTTCAGTACTTTATCTCTTCCTGGCATACGTATCAAGACCATATTTGTTTCATAGAAAAAGGTTGGTAGGAACCTTTTTTTACATTTTTTTCAAACATTTTATGTAATATTAGAATTGATTGTTCCTTAAAATTTTGGTAGAATTCACTTGTGAATTCATGAGGTTTTTTTTTTTCCTTTTGGAGTTCCTTAATGGATTTTCACATTTTTTCTCCCTGAGATTGGGTTATTGTTAAGGTTTTCTACTCTGTTAATCTTAGCATTTGATATTTATAAATGTTCATCCATTTGATTTAAATTATCATTTAATAATGATTAAATTATCCATTAAATTTAAATTACCAAGCAAAATGATTTTTAATTATTTCCTTTATTTGCTTTTTTTGGGTGAATTCTTCTTTTTTCATTGTTGACAAAGATAGTTTATTTTTCTTTTATCACATTATTTAATTTATTAATTTTATTCATTTTTTTCAAGAAAATCTAGTATTTTATTGATTTAGTTTTTCTATGTTATATCTGATTTGCAGAATTACTGTGTGTTTTGTTATGGTTTTAAAGTTTATTATTTTGCTAGTTTGGTTTTTTTTTTTAGTTGCATGCCAGATTGATTGATTTGTCCTTTTTTTTCTTTTTGGGGATGAAAGTGGTTACAGAAATACATTTACCCTTAAGGACTGCTTTGACTGCATTTCCAAAATTTTGGCACCTTGTCTCATTGTTCCCAATTTTCCTTGTAATTCAGTTAACTTTTTCTTCGAGTACTTAGATGTTATGTCATTTGCGGCATACACACACACACACACACACACATACATGTTAAAGCACTGGCATTTCATTATCTACAGTGTGATTCAAATGAGGGTCATGAGATGGCTGCTCCTCCTTTCTTTCATATTTATATATTCTATATATTTATATATTCTTCTTTTCATGTACTCCAATTTTGTAGCATAGTAAGTTTTTTATCCTTCTTTCTTATTTTTTCCCTTGCACATTCCCTTGTTTGGCCCTTTTATTTCCTTAAATCTTAGAAAGAACATAACTGCACCCAGTCCTTGTGTTAATATGTTTCTTAACTCTGTTTGAGATCCTTGAAAACCCTTAATTTGTAGAGACCTTAATCTTTTCTTACATTATTGTAATTTTAGCCCCTGACAGTTACTTACATTTAAATACTTTTCTAGTTTTCTCTTGACTTCTATGCTTATGTTTCAAAATTTCCCTTTGGTTCTTTTTTCTTTTTTTTTTTTTAAATGGAATACTTAAGTCCTCTATTCTATTAAAAAGCCATTTCCAATCTGCCCCAGTCAGAGGATTTGTGCTTTTGCTGAGTTAGTTATTCTTGGATGTATGCCTTTACTTTTTGCCTTTTAGAATATTATATTCCAAGATTTTCTTTTCTTGTGTTTAGTTATGTCAGAGTCTTGAGTTATCCCGGCTAAAGTTTCTTGGTACTCCAACTCTTTCTGGCTTTTTGCAGTATTTTTCTTTAGTCTAGAAACTTTGGGATGACTGTAACATTACTGGGTTTTTAATTTGGGTTCCTTCCAAGAGATGAACAGTGGATCCTTTTTAGTTTTATTTTGCTCTCTGGTTCTAATAGATCTGGGCAAATCTCTTTATAAGTTCTTAAAATGAGTTTTCTGGATGTTTTGGTTTGATCTTAGTTTTAATGGAGTCTGATATTTTTTAGATTGGCCCTCCTGAACTTATTTTCTATGTCACTCACTGATTTTTAATAGTAGATAGTTTATGTTTTTCTTTTTTCCCTAAATCTTTTGATCTTGTTTCTATTTTTTGTTTCCTAGAGTCATTGAATTCTCATTGTTAAGTTCTATTTTTCTTTTTTTATGGAGTCTGTTAGTTGGGTAAGACTTTCTACATTCTGTTCTAAGTTATTTATTGTCCTTTCATTTTTTACCCAGAGCTCTTATTTCAGTTCTAATTTGATTTTTTCAAACTTGCTTTATCTCTTCTAATCATCCACATAGACCTTCTGATAAAACCATTTTTGGCTTAGGGCTGTATTTATGCTTGTCATTCATCTACTTTTGAGGCAAGGGAGTTGGAGTACTCCCTGAACCCTATTGCTGCTTCCATGATCATTCTCCGCCCCACCCCCATTTCCATCCATCAGTAACCTCCCTTCCTTTGAGATTTATGTTATTCGTATCTACCACCCAATAAAAATCCTGGTTGCTGTTATCTCTAGACCCCCAGGTCACTCTCCTTTTCTTAATGAGTTTGTTACCTGGCTCACTATTTTTCCTTCCTCCCCAACTCCTGCTCTCATATTGGGGGACTTCAACATACAAATTGACTCTTACTTCAAACACCCTAAAAACCCTTTCCTTAACCTACTCACTTCTGATAAACTGCTAATCCATTCCATCTCAGCCACACACAAAGATGGTCGTACCTTTGCTCTTGCCATCGCCTACAGAGGTATTACTTGCATGTTCAAGAATTCCAAAATCCCCTTATGTGACTGTAACATATTGACTTCTTACCTTTCCTTTTGCCTTCCTTTACAAAACCTACTCTTCATCCACATTGTGACCGCCAGTCCCTTGATCTCTCTATTCTTTCCCAGGCCATGTCCCCTGTACTAACTGCTCTTTTCTCTCCTGATTTGGCTCTTTTTTTTAGCTCTTGCAAGCTTCAGGTTCTGAAGGACTTAGACAAGGATGGAACTACCTGACATATACTTCTGGTACCTGTCCAGTGCTACTAGAAGAGCTGTGGAGGCCTCAGATGGGAACCGATCTGACCAACCCATGCTTCTGTCTCCTGTCCCACCCTCTGTCCCCCAAAAGTCTACTGGAGATCTGAGATTTGGATAGAGCTGTCTACTTCTAGCCTTCCAGACTCCTTTGCACCATCTCCCTCTAGAAAGCCCTCCATCCAGTCAAGATCTGGAAAAAAAAAGAGAGAGAACCAGACCTTAGTACTTCTTAAACTATGGGTTGTGAACCTTGTGTGGGGGTTGTGAAAGATTTGGCAACAGTAAAAGGTTTCTGAGTGTGCAACACCCAAAAATTAATTCAAAATCAAACATGCAGTGAATCTAAGGTGTTTCTGGCAGCACTTGCCCACGTTGCATCTCACAGCTTCACTTGGTTATGAACACAAAGCATTCACATTTTGCACTGTACATCCTGTCACGCCCATGCAGCCTGGCCAGTGGATGCTTCTGAAATGCAAAAAGGGGTCATGAGTGAAAAAAGTTTAAGGAGCCCTGACCTAGTAGATGTTTGGAGAGACTTTGCGCCCAGAAACATATCAAGGAATTAATTTCTACTTATCTCTACAAAATGGTATTTTTTAAAAATCCCTTGCTGATTAGAGGGGGAGTGGAAGGAGATAGGTCAGCAGAACGGGACTTTGTCTCCTCTGACAGGGCACCCACATAAAATAATTGCCTGCTTTGCCTTCTGCATTCTTTGCTGTGATTCTAACATTTCTAGGCAAAAGGAGAATGAGAAACTGGTGAGGAACCAACAAGCTTATGAGGATTGCTGTGCTTTTTAGGGGGCATCTGAAAGAGATGAGACTTAATCCAAGCTCTCTAGAGAAATCATCTGCCCTCAGGGTTGCCAACCTCACTCTTGCTCTTGCCAGCATCCTTAACCTCTCCTCCCTGCCCTAATGGAAGGTATAAGAGAAAGCAAGGAATCTTCTCCAATTTTAAGACTGGCTCCAAAGAGGAAAATGAGTTAGCTGTGCATACTACATCCGTGTCAGAACCGTGAAGGTACAAAGGCACATTTGGAGACTCCAACTGAATTGGGCCTGTTCTGAAGTAAAAACCTTTGGATTCCTCAGGCAGAGCTCCAAGCGTGAAGTACAATTTGAAGTACAAATTCTAGCAGAACTGCCATAATTCTGGGCAGGATCCATTGAGGGAGAAGAGAATGAAACACATTCGAACCCTGCCAGAAGGTAGGGGAGAGAGGTAGTGAAAGACCTTTCCACCTTGTCCTGTTACCCATGTGATCTTCACTCTAGACGTCCTGTGGGGCATTGCAGTGTGATCTAATGGAAGATTTTAAAAGGGTTTTATTTGATAAGAACATGGTGGACATGAGATGTAAGTAAAAAGAGGAAAAAAAAGATGCAGTTTCCCCATGTACAAGTCAAGAATCTTCAACAAGCTGAAGGCCTGCTAGTTAAACCTCTGATTTATGGGTACTCTGAGCTAGCTCTGCTCTGCATAAGTTACCCAAACGAAAACTGAGAGATAAATGTAATTTGTTTTTCCAGACAGACTGACCATATCTGCGAGCACCGGGTCCCTTATCCTGATCTCTGTGGGTGGACCCAAGTCTCTGAAACAGGGAGTATTCCACTCCCCTATCATGATCAGAGGAGCTGCTCCCATCCTCTACTACTCTGACCAGGCACATTTCCCATGCCTAGAAAATTCTCACCACCTCTTACTGTCCTAATCCTTGTGATACTGAATTGCCAGCCGCCCGAGTAAGCCACTCTTGCTCTGCAGCCCCTTCTAGTCTGCATCCACCTCAACCCCTCTCCTTTGTTATTATCCGCCTCCATCCTCTCTTTACATTGTGTCCTTCAAAATTCTGGTGTCATCATTTTAAAAATTCTCTTTATTTCTGATCCTTTCCCTTTGCATTCCTCCCTTCTTCTGGTGCTGGCAGAAGCCTAACTCACCCAACCCTGCCCCCACCTCCCCAGCTGACACTGGCCATGCCTGACTTTCCTCCTGGCACTGATGGCACTTTGTCTCGTGCTCCTCGACGCACTACGTTTGGAGGACGGATTGGAATACTCCTTTCCCTGAACTACTGCTCGCAGATGCTCCCTTTGTTGTCATCATTCAGCAAGGATGACTATCCAAAAATATCATCCAGTTCAGATATTAATGGTAGCAATCTGCTGGTGTCCAAGTCGTTCTCCTTCTGTTCCTGAACAGTTACGCGTTTGGCTCACAGTCTTCCTGTCCACCCTGATTCCTGCCCTGTACTATGGGACTTCAGCATACATGTTAGTGGTCCTGGCTCCCACTTCTTCAGTCTCTTCAGCTCCCATAGCATATTTCTGTACCCAGCATCTCAGATAGACACAGTACAGACATGCTCACAACTTCCTTGATCTCATCCTCACCCACAAGTGTTCCACGTCCATGATCAAAAATCTGTAACTTTCCTCTGTCTGATCATGACTTATTTTTCCATACCTTCTTTTGTCTTAATCCTTCTCAACTCTTCTTTTTCAAGACATTGACAGCCAGTGCAAAGGTGCAGAGACAGAAGGATTGTCGTGTATACGTGTTCTGTCCTCCAATAAAATGTAAGGTGCTTGAGAATTTTTTTGTATGTTGTTTTGATATATTTCATTTTTGTTTCATTTTAGTATTCATGTACTATTTGACAGGTTGCAGGTAACACCAACAGTGTGCTTAACGAGGTGGGGTTCAATGTGGTCTTTACTGAGTGCGCTGCAGATTTGACTCCCTTTTGGCCTGAGCTCAGTCTCGTATTTAAAATGTTTCTGATACTCTGGAGTTGAGACTCTGTGTCCACTGGCTAATATTAGAGTCTGCATAGCAGAATTTTGAAGACAGAGATTTCTAGGTGACAGCCTCACCACCTTGCACACTATTAGAGAGAACATTTGAATACAGGGATTTTTTTTTCTCAAGATAAACAGAAGAAGGGGGAAGAGTCAAAGCCTGGAACTAGGGCATGTGATTGAATGAACAAAGAGGGAATATATTTTACTTTAAGAAAAATGATCAATTGAGGAAGAAAAATTACACTCATCTTTGTAACAGGGAGAAATAATGGAGCATCATCACTCTCAGATGAGGTCATGTCGGCAGTCCAAAAACCTCTATGGAATGAGCAGTTAGGCCCTGGCACTAGACAAAGATGATATTTTTAGAGAGAGCTTGCTCCTCTGTGAAATAACCCTTCCTGTACTTAAGTCATCATCACAAGAATGGACAGTGGGTTTCCTGCTTTCCTTTTCCCCATGTCGGGTATTCTCTAGACCATTTTATCCAAGGTGCCAGGAACTCTAGATGTACCCTTTATAAGAGACTGCTAATTTCATCTCAACAAAGACCTACCCATTAGATACTTCTGGGAAATGCAATCTTCAACATTAGGCCTTTCCCGATTCCTTCTCAGTGTTACCTCCTATCTATATTATATATACCTAAATGTAGCACCCTTTCTGGGAACTTTCTTCAACTTGTCCATGAAAATTGCATTCCTTGCGGGACATGTACCCATATCAAGATGCTCTGGATCTAAAATCCTAAAAATAGCTCACAAGTCCCCACGGATGCATTCTCCTTTCAGTAGTGAGGCAATCTGTTCAAAATGAGGCATTTACTAGACTAGCACAACAGGAAACATAATATTTGTAAGTGGCATCACCTCTCATACTTAAACCTCTCAAGCCTGCTATATTACAGATGCCTTCATGCTGCTGTCATTGATCTTGATCTTACCTTTTCTGGATGCTGCTGGACCCTGCTCCCATGAATGCTACTGGGCACTGATCTTCTGATATCCTAGGCTAGGGTTCTGCTATCCCCTTTAAAAGTTAGCTGTTTTAGAAAAAGCCAACATTCTTCCTCTAGGACCAGAAGAACTTTTCCTGCTTTGCTCCCTTAGAATCTTAACCTATAGAGATTCCCAGTCCTAGGAACAAATCCTTTTATGATAAAGAATAATGTCATTCTAGTATTACCTTTGGGCTTATTTTTTCCCCACTTTCCCCACTCTACTTTTCCTGGCATAGCAAATGCAAGATCTCACTGTAACTTTGGATATAATCGATGGAGTTTCTGAATTTGTACATCTACAGGCCAGCCTTAGGTACCAAGCCCTTCATAACAAAAAGCAGCAGCTTCTCAGAAAGCTGTTGCCCTCAGGCCTAGTCTTCCCCTTCTTTCCCTAACCCTCATCCCCTTTCCTGCTATAGGCAAACCCAAGATCTTACCCTAACACTAAGTGATTAACCAACGTATTTCCTAAATGTGTACATGTGCAGGCCAGGCCATAATCTAGGCAATGGTATAATTTTTTCAATAACCACAAGAAGGCTCTGATACTCACTGTTCTCCCAATTTCTACTTGTGAATTTCTCCCACTTATATACATATATGTATGGACAGAAAAAGGTACAGTGGGAAACTATGTTTAGGCGGCAAGGTCATTGTCTCCACTAACTAACTGAAACCTAGGTCTCTCCATATGCAAATGCTACCGGATGAAATCTGAAATAACTGAGGAAATGATTCAAACTTCTGAGCATATCAGTTTATTAAGTAATGCATGCCAATTACATGACAAATTGGTACCAGTCCTTGGCTTGGTACTGGACCCTGGATAAAGGGGGAGACAGATTTTTATGCATTAAAAGAAAACAACAGGATAAAAACAGTATGAAATAAGGTCATGTGACTTCTAATTGGAGGAAAAATTAGTGGCTTTCTGAGTTGGGAGGGGGATGAGTGAGTTTTGAGAGCTAGAAGGGGGGAAAGTAAACAAGTGGACTTTTCCAGATATGAAACAGGATGTCACTCAATTCCCATGAACAGCAAACAGGTAGAATTTACAGGAAAATGAAACTTGGGTCTCAAAATTGAGTCAGTTTTACAACACAGAGTGAGCTTGGTTCACACAGTTTTCTTAATTTTCCCCTTTCTTTCACAAGGGGGGAGGAGGTGACCAGGAACTAGGAATGTCTTTTGGAAAAACTGAAGTAGAATTTTCTAAGCCATATGTATAGCAGAATTAATTGTTTAGGTATATTAGAAGCAAAGCCACCAAAGAAAACTCAAAAGAAACTTTGCATTTAGAAACTTTTAGAAACCCAAAAGGGTAACTATTATAATTAATTAGGATTGTATAAAATTTCATGCTAAATTGATTTAAATATAAAGGCTGATACTATAAGGAAACTGGGAGAGCAAGGAATAGCTTACCTGTCAGATTTATGGAAAACTGAAGAATTTATGACCAAACAAGAGATAGAGAACATTATGAAATGCAAAGTAGATAATTTTGATTACATTAAATTGAAAAGTTTTTGCACAAACAAAGCCAATGCAACCAAGATTAAAAGGGAAACAGAAACTGGGAAACAGTTTTTACCAGTGTCTCTGATAAAGGCCTCATTTCAAAAATATGTAGAGAACTGAGTCAAATTTATAAGAATACACGTCATTTGATAAATGGTCAAAGGATATGAATGGGCAATTTTCAGATGATGAAATTAAGCTATAGTTATATGAAAAATGCTCTAAATCACTATTGATTAGAGAAATGTAAATCAAAACAACTCTGAGGTACCACATTATACCTATCAGACTGGTTAACATGGCAAAACAAGAAAATGATAAATGTTGGAGAAGATGTGGGAAAATTGGAACATAAATGCATTGTTGGTGGAGTTGTGAACGGATCCAACCATTTTAGAGAACAATTTGGACCTATGCCCAAAAGGCCACAAAACTCTGCATACCTTTTGACCCAGCAGTACCACTTCTAGGTCTGTATCCCAAAAAGATCACAAAAAGGGGAAAAGGACCCACATGTACAAAAATATTTATAGCAGTTCTTTTTGTGTTGGCCAAAAATTGGAAGTTGAAGGGATGCCCACCAATTGGGGAATGCCTGAACAAGTTGTGGTGTATGAATGTAATAGAATACTATTGTTCCATAAGAAATGATGAGCAGGTGGACTTCAGAAAAACCTAGAAAGACTTACATGAACTGATGCTGAGTGAAGTGAGCAGAACCAGAAGAACATTGTACACAGTAACAGCAACATTGTGCGCTGACTAACTTTGATAAACTTACCTCTTTTAGCAATGCAAAGATCTAAGACAACTCCAAAGGAATCATGATGGAAAATATTATTCACATCTAGAAAAAGAAGTATCAAGTCTGAATGCAAATCGAAGCATACCATTTGCTCTTTTTTTGTTTGTTTCTTCTTTCTTGTGGTTCCTCCTATTGGTTCTAAGTCTTCCTTACAACATGACTAATGTGAAAATATGTTTAATAGGAATGTATATATACAGCCTATAGCAAATTGCACACCATCTTGGGGAAGGAGGGAGAGAAAATTTGGAACTCAAAATCTTATGGAAGTGAATGTTGAAAACTAAAAATTAATTTAAAAAATTGCATGCTAAATTGCAAAAGATAAATTCTATGGAATAAAGATTTGTTAGATAGTTTGGAAGATAATTAGGAAATTCAGTATTCTGCCCTTGAAAGACCATTCCAGGAGCACATTCCCTAGTCTTTAGAATCACCCCCAATCATTAGAACCTTGTGAGCTCCAGAACAAGGGAATGGGAATGAGAGCCTGCCACTTGGAATCTCTTCCTTTTGCCCAGAGTTAAAACTGAAAAATGGGCAGCTGGGGGTGCAGTCATGAAGTCTTATCTTCCTAAGTTCAAATCTGGCCTCGGACATTTCCTGTGTGCCCCTGAGCAAGTCACTTAACTCTCTCTGCCTCAGTTTCCTCATCTGTAAAATCAGCTAGAGAAGGAAATGGCAAACCACTCCAGTGTCTTTGCCAAGGAAATCCCAAATATGGTCATGAAGAGTCAGGTGTGACTGCAATGACTCGACAACAGCAACGTAAACTGAAAAGCCTTGGGGTAAGAGGGGGTGGGCCTAGGTTACTCACATGAATGGACTTGATTGGGCTCTTTGGGTGATTTTTGAAAGAAAATAAATAAAAAGTTTAAGGAAAGGTGAAAATGCTACTGTGAATCTTTGAAAATGATCTAATTGTTAACTCTGGGCTCTAAATTTTAAAGCATAGGTGCCTAATAGCCCTTGAAAATCGAGATTTTGTTTTGTGGTTGTGAATCCAGATTTGATGTGGTTGAGGTTTGTCCTGTAACTAAATTATGACATGATGAAATGTTTTTTATTAACTGTGGCATCAAATGCAAAAAAAAATGTTGGAAAAATGCATGGATCGGAGAAACCTGAGAAACACTCTGGTTTCAGAAATTTATTAGATGTGTGATCTTAAACAAGCTGTCTTATTTCTGTTTCCTGATCTGTGAAAAGAAAATGATAATGATACCCATCTCTCTGGGTTATTGTAAGGATCAAAATGACGTGATTGTGAAGTGCCCACAATTCTCTCAACCACATACAAAACTTGAAAAGGGCAAAGTCTGAAAGGGGCTTTGCCTAAACCCTACTTTTGTTCTTATATCCCAGGACCTAGAATAGTATCTGTGTCCTGAGGAAAATCTGGAAGATTTTTTCATGTGAAAACTTCACACTTTAGACTGATGCTTTGGCAAGGAGTTTATTAATG